CGCCGGGCCGGTGTCGTAAGGTGAAATCGAATTCTGCTAATTCTGTGATCCATCGTGCTTGTCGTCGGTTGAGCTTTTGTGGCTTCCGGAAGTATTCGAGGTTCTGATGATCAGTGAAGATCTCAAACGTTTCTGTGGCCCCCAAGAGTAGCTGCCTCCATTCGTCGAGCGATAACATGATTGCAAGCATTTCCTTGTCGTAGATCTCGTAATTTCGCTCGGTTTCCGTTAATGCATGCGAAATAAATGCAATTGGGCGCCAAATGCCGTCTTGGTTTTGGCTCAAAACAGATCCTGTTGCCCCTTCCGAAGCATCGGCTTCCAGACGATATTGACCGGTGTCATTTGGCAGTGCTAAGACGGCATCCTCCGCGATTCTCTTCTTTAACCCATCAAACGCCGCATGTTCATCCGGACCCCATGACCATCCTGCCTTCCCTGTCAGCCGCGTCAACGGCTTGGCGACCTCCGCATATCCCCGAACAAAACGTCGATAGAAGTTTGTGAATCCGAGGAAGGCTTGGACTTGTTTGACGCTCTTTGGTTCCGGCCATTCCATCACGCCCTTGATCTTGACAGGGTCCATCCGCATCGAGTTGTGTCCAATGATTACACCCAGGTATTCGATTTCCGTGCGTTCGAACTCGCACTTTTCCGGCTTCAGGTATAATTTGTGCTTTTGGAGCAACTCGAGTACCCGTTTGGTGATTCGTCGATGTTCATCCAGATTTTCTGTGAAGATTAGTATGTCGTCCAGATAAACTACCACATGTCCCTCGTTGATCAGTTCCCGGAGTATGTCGTTCATCATGTTTTGGAAAGTTGCCGGGGAATTCGTGAGACCAAAGAACATAACCAAGGGCTCGTAAAGTCCGCGGTTTGTGCGGAACGCAGCCTTCCACTCATCGCCCTCTTTGATCCGTACGTTGTTGTATCCCCACCGGATGTCTAGCTTGGTGAAGAACTTGGCGCCGCACAGGTTGTGGACCAGTTCGGAAATCAGCGGTAGCGGGTACCGATTTCGGATCGTCATCTCATTCAGCTTCCGGTAATCTTGAACGGGCCGTAGCGAGCCATCCTTCTTCTTGACAAAGAAGAATGCCGATGCCATGGGTGATTTTGATGGCCTGATTCGTCCGCTGGCTAGGTTCTCTTGTAAGAACTCGTCGAGTTTGACCTGCTCGTTTCTCGATAAGGGGTACACCTTGCAGTCCACTGCTTTGGAGCCTGGTTTGAGCTCGATCGCATGATCCCATGCCCGTCGGTCCGGTAGCGAGTCGAATGATTCCTTGGCGAATACTTTGACGAATTCTCGGTATTGATCTGGAATCTTTCCCTCGGTCATTCTCTCCTTCTCCTTTTCCGCTTCTTCTGCGAATTTCTGCGCCGGCGTTTCCTTCAGCCGTAGGTCTACCTCCTTTCCAAAGTCGATCAACAAGATCGATTCTCCCTCTTCCAGATCCGGTGCACCCGCGTCCAGGTCAATTGCATCCATGTCGATCATCGCTTGGTGCTCCTCGTGACCCCTCATTTGACATTGCTCTGGGCATCGGCTGAATCTCATTGTCTGCTCCTGCCAATCCACCTCGGGGTTGTGTTCCGTCAGCCAATCCAGGCCGATGAAGATCCGGGCTTTTCCCAGACACGTCAGAAGGAACGTGCGTGTCTCCACATGAGGACCGATTCTCATTCTCAAGTCGACGTAGTGCGTGATCCGACCGCTGATGTTCTCGGTGTTGTCGGCGTTACGAGCCACAATGGGTTGCGGAAGCTCTTGGATATCCAGCTTTTCTGCCCGTGCGTAGTCGGTGTCGATGCAGCAGGTACTGCAGCCACTATCGAGCAGCGCCTTGACTCCACGCGTTTTCCCTGAGTCCAGGCCCGTGATCTGGACATATACGTCCATCGAATGCCTCTTTCTTTCGGCTTGGTAACTGCGCAATTCCTGCGCCAATCTGCTGGGCTGGGGGCCCTTCTGTTTCTCGGCCGCCAATTTCCTCTGGATGGCATCTGGCACCCTGGTGCGTTTGGGTGCTTCTGGAACCTCGATTTTGGCAGATTCCTTGGGCGCTTCCTCCTTTTCCAAGGATCGAGCCTTCGGAGCGATGCTCCCCTTTTCGGTCTTTGTTGACGTGGTTCCTTCTCCACGAGCCATAAATACGTAGGAGTCCAAAAATAATTTATCTGCAGCTTTCTGATCCTTTTTATCTTGTAAGTATTTTCTATTTAGAGCTATCTTTTCCTGGCGTTCTTTTTCCATCTCGGCAATAAGAAAATCGTGAATATTTGTACGTAGTGAGTCTGAGATCGTGTATGTAGATGAAATATTGTCCGTATCTTTAATCGAAACAAGTACAGAAAATCGTCCATAGTCCGGACGCTCCACCTCCTTGGCTAGAGGAGTGGAGCGCTTCAAAAACCCTTCTCGCGCAGCTTCTCGGCAATCTCCTTCAGGAACTCGTTGTCCTTGTCCTCGTTCTCGATTTCTTCCAGCATCGTGGCCCGATTGAAGAACGTGCGCTTCTTCCTGGGCTCTGGGCAGTTCCGCGCAATGTGCCCGGGCTGCTGACAGTTGTAGCAGATGATATTGCGGCCGCGGGCGTGGGTACGATCGATTTCCATCGGAACCGGTTCGTTGGCAGCGGGTCGGGCCGGAGCGGGTGTGGGCGCCACTGGTGCCGTTTGGGGACGGAACTGGGGAGGTGGTCGTTGTGTGGGGTGCCCATACGACGCTTTGCGCAGCTGGTCACGCAGAGCATTGGCTTCGATGTTGATGCACCAGGCTTTGAACGCTCCATAGGCCTTGGGCAGAGGGACACCGGTGTTGTAGAGACGGCTGGCAATCTCGCTGCTGAGTCCGCGCTCCAGGAACTCGATGAGGATATTATCCTGGTCCCCCTTCTTGTATTCGCCTTTGTCGTCGGTGGTGTCAACCACATTGTAGCCTGCATCCGCGGCCAACATCTCAAAGTCGGAGATGTAGTCCGCGAAGGACCGTTTGTTTTGACGCAGGGCCATAAGCCGAGCAGCGGCGACTTGTTCCGCATTGGAGTCCCCGAACGCCCTCTGAAGCTCCTCCAGGAAGTTCTTTGATGTGACTCCTGCCTTCAGTCCTTGGAAGCCATCGAAGTTGTGCTGCTTCCAGTTCATCGCCCATCTCGAGGCAGCGCAGCTCGTGCCGTTCTCGTTACGGAGGTAGGAGAGGACAAAGAGGATTTTGGTCTCATCTTGTGAGAACTCCGATCGATAGGCACCGATGTAAGTGGTGCACGCGTCCACAAAGCCCAGGTATTTGGACTTGTCGCCATCGAAGTAGGGGGGGTTGGCGGCGAGGGTGATGCGGTGATGCCCTGACATGGTAGGGGCAGGCGTGTGAGGTGGAGGCGAGGGTGGTTGTTCGGAGGGCAGTTCGTCGAGGTCGGGGATCTCGTCTTCAGGCGGTGGGAGGGCGAGGTAGGGGTTGGAGGACCCGGGTTGGTTTTGATGCGCCAGATCGGGCGACGATGGTACAATGGGGGGAGGGGACGGACTCCCAGACGACGATGGGAATCGGTACGAAATGGTGGAATCGTGTGCTGTACAAGCACTCGAGGGAGGGTTCTTTTGCTAGCAAAAAGATCCCGGGCCTAGCTCTTCACGTGCCCGATGATCCCGAGGTGCGTTTTCCCGAAGGTCTCCGCAGCACTCCTTGTAGCTACCGTAAGGCTTGGGTCGGGCTCAACGTTACCCGTGGCCTGGTGCTGTTTGCTTGATATGAACCCTTCACTGCGATAGTGGAGGACGACTAGATGATTCGGTAAAAGGGTGAGTGGGGTGATAAGGGTTAAGAGGATATAGCGGGCGTAGCGGTGCAAGATGCAGGGTAAGAGGTATGAGGTAGGAGGGTATGAGGGGAGTCTTCGAATTATGTGACAATCAACCCAAAAACAAAGTCGAAAAGAGAAGTGAATTCGAAGACTGGAGAATACAACCAAGTAGCTACAGTATTTATACCCAAATCCAATCTGAGTCATATCTACAACTAATGAGTCATAGGGCTATGTACCGCATGGAACGCTGGTCATGGGTCGTAGTAGAACCTTCTGGAGCATATGTCGCGCAGCCTCGAATCGATGAAGATAATCCCTGGAACCCCTAGTCCGGACCGTCTGATGCCGTGATCCGTGATAAGATAAGTCGTGCCAAGATAAGATAAGATCGTCGATGATAAGATGAAAAAGTGGCCGAACTATGACAGTTCTGGAAACATATTCCTGATTGTGAAGACCGGGCAACTTGTCAAACATGCAGCACTGAAGAAACACTGGAGCACATACTTTGTGACTGCACCTGCGTGGGTCAAGATGAAGTCTGGCAGCTAGCAGGCAACCTCTGGGAAACCACGGGAAAGCCATGGTTCAAGCCCTCTCTAGGGGCCATTCTTGGGGTGGGCCTACTGAAAGTAAAATCAGTTAACAAACCTGACCCAGGGCTAACAAGACTGCTACACATCATTATCTCTGAGTCAATGTTCCTGATCTGGAAGCTCCGAAACCAGCGTGTGATATCCAACAATGGCCAACCCCATACCCCCAAAGAGATCGAACAAAGGTGGAACCACCTTATTGAGTCTAGATTCAAACTAGAGTGTGCCATGACAAACAAACTACGTTTTGGTAAACGTGCACTGGCACTGAGAACCCTTGAAGCAACATGGAGGCCTGTCCTTACCTCCTCTGATGATATCCCGGAGCACTGGGTGAACTGCCCCAGGGTTTTAGTGGGTCGCGCATACCTGGCAATACTGCCACCTCCCCCTGAGCCACCACCAGGTTAGGTCGGGGGAGGAGTTTTCGCATCCCCACACTACTGTGACCACTTTGTGTAGCTGTACATTTCCCTGGGCGGTGGGTTCACACTGCAAATCTTCTGTTTCTTGCTCCCCTATCTGGAGGGAATCTCCCCCCAAAACCTTACTCAGTATGCTAGAGGTTAACCAATTGTTATATTGTCTAGCGTATAGTACCACCAAAAAAAAAAAAAAAAAGAACACGAACACGTGATATGGTTAGACACGTGTCATTGTTGGACCATGCCATGGCGCACTACATGTAACTACGAAGGATCCGAGTGAAAAACAAAGTACTACGATTGGGACGCTAATACCGGCTTGGAGGTGTCTGGTGCCCCGGAAGAGTCCGCTTCTGACGCGTTTCCTGCGGGTGTCTCCTGCGAGCGTGTTGACGATGTCGATTCATGCGTCAGCTCCCAGAGAGGGATGGGGATCGAGTGCGCTGCCGCGGACGAGGATTGCCCTCTGGGGTCCATCTGGATCGGCTGCATGGCTTTGGAGTTCGCCACATCGTCGTCATCCTCCTCCTCCTCCTATGCCCTGCCCGTGAGCGCAGAAAATCAGCACGAAGAGGCAGCACGCACATAACAGTAGGGCGCAAACTGGGGCGTGGTGGCCCCGACTGAGTGGGGCGCGGCAGAGTCCGGCTGCGCCGTGATCCCCGCCGAGGCCGATTGTGGTCCCGAGAGGAAGTTGATGAGCAGGGTCAGCGCGTAGACCCGGCCTTGGCAAAAGAAGAGCATGTCGAACACTGCGGTTGATGGGTCAGCGCGTGGACCGTGCAGACAACGCGCGAAGGGTCCGAGGCGACGCACCGACGTTCCTCCTGATGAAAAGGATCATCATCAAGAGCGTCGTGGAAGCAACGATCGCCCCCGATATCAGACTCAGGAAGAGAACCCTGCGTACGATGCTGCGTTGCTGAATCAGGGGATACAATAAGCACTAGAAAATCGAGCGGGACGTACCCTAGAAGACGCGCGCTGTGCCCGGGACCTTTGCTCGTCATTAGCCTGATCTTGTTCAGCTCATATCCCACCAGCCCGGCAATGAGGACGTCCGTTGCGCTGCAAGTGATCGCACCGACGCTGGAGCGTTGTCAACTCATAGGACACGTGATTCAAGAACACAGATGCTCACGCAGTCACTTGGAAGATTGACGGGAATGCCCCAACACCGGAGATCTGAAGCATGATTCCACCTGCGAATGAGATTGCGAGCTGGAAAGCAATGCTTAAGCGGCGGCGATAGACGGATAAGGAGTGACGAGGGGGCTCACGTGCAAGGCGCTGCAAGACACGATGAGGAGGGTGGCAAGTTTCTTTCGTGACCTGGGGCGCGAATCAGAAACAGTGAAATAACTCAAAGTCATCCTCAACGCACAAAATGTAGTATAACTGGCACAGAAACGACTGCTCGATAGCCGCCGTGATGTACGTCGCGAGGATGCTAATCGTGGTCGGTATCGTGTCCGATCTGAACGTAAGCTTGCCAAAAATCGACAGCACCGTCGTCAACACGATCGAATCGACTGCGAGCGTGCAGATCGTGTCGGCCAGGAGCATCACCGCGATGCCGAGCCGGTGCACGCGCGGGCGGTGCGGCCGCAGGAGGTAGCGCGTCGCCAGCACGAGCTCGCACGCGAAGAGCATCATGTTCACCCACGTGCCGGCGAGCTGTGTGCTGCCGCCCTCAGGCTCGACGCTCAGACGTTTGGGGGAACTGGCCGCGGCACGCACCCATACGAGAACAGGAAGGGGCCCATATCCGGTCTGGGACCATCCGCATCGGGGGCCGACATGTGTGCGCCCGCAGAATGAGCGGAGGAGAATCCGTTTTGTAGGAAAGCGCTCGAGAGGGGTGAAAGACTTGCGTCATATGGCAATCCCTTGCTTATATCCGATGGACGAAGGTGGCTATACTCTTCTAGCCCATAGCAACCTCCAATAGCTGAGCGAATTCGGAATCACATTGGATGATGGTGCGTAAGAAGCACGGGCGCCCGGTTGGCGGCGAAGCGCGGGCCCCGCGAAGATTGCCTTCTCGTGGAAATGTTACGAAAGCACGATTGATCTTGCGTCCAAACACGATCACGTGACAGAGCGATAAGCAGAAGCCGTTCAATGTCTCGATAATACATATGACTCGGGGGTCTCTATCAAGCGGTCCGTTTCATGTATGCAGGGATCTGGGTCGTTTACAATAGGCATGTGACTCGGCATGTCCACTGCAACGCGTTTTGCTCCATCTAATCTGAGAACTTCACAATTGGTCTTATTCTGGTCGGTCCGCGCTGATGTAAAGTGTTCATTTGTTTGTCTACTTGTCAAGCTTTTTTTACTACCCCTGCAGCATACTCTAAGGATAATCAGGTACTCCATGGCGTCGATGAAGAAAGCAGTAGAGCACCACTCTTGAACGGCGTGTTGAGCTTGACTTTTTCTCAATTCTCTCGAGATCGTGATAGTCCTGCGCGGCTTCGTTGCAGCCATCGGGGCGGCTTTTTTCCAGTCAGACTAGTCATCAGGGGCATGGGATGACCACATGTATGCATGTCGCCCTGTGCGCAATGGCTTCGGCTGTGAGCATCTGTGTATCTATACACGCTTTCCTACGCTGTGGCGGATGATCTGGGCTGGCCATGAGGGAAAATTCTTCCAGTGATTCGGTGTATCGAAGACACTCGGTAGTTATTGAACACCTCTTTGAACTTTCTGGCATGGTGCCTAGTATTTTCAGTTGCAATGATTCTGCTCGTTTCCTTGGACTGAGACTGAGCTGATAGATAACAAGGTGTTGGAGGAGAATTCCGACAGTGTGCCCCTGACGGTGGCCAAGTTCGGGTTCGCGCGCTCTGACACACACAATTAGACTGAAGATACACACTCGATGTCAGAGGAGGACAGCTGTTGCTATCAAATTTGACAAATGGCAAGAAGCGACGCACAAGATTTCAAGTAAACTTTGATAATCCCTCTGCGGTAAACGAGATGATCTTCATCCTACAACATCATTGGCGAGTCATAGGGGTACATCAGCTTCGTGCAAAACATACTGCAATTGAGTGATGATGGTGTCCAGGTAAGGTTCAGACTCCCCTCTTACCATTCCATTGGATTTGGTGGCGCTTCTGGATTCGAGGTACATTCCGCTTGAGGGATGTATTCGTCAATCCGTCGCGTAGGTCCAATGCCGCGTGCGGAATAGTGGGGCTCTGTGCCCGACGGTGCAGATATGCCACAGACAGATACTAGAAGCCCTAGTGGAATCGATATGCGAACAAGGTACCCCTTTCGTGCTTTAGCCTCCCTGAACCGTACGACATAAGTATATGAGATGAAAATAAAGTCAAAGGCCGGATATTGGCCTGATTCGGCGCGTTGCTCGGAGAACAGCCATGAATGTCGAGTACAATGCACACTGGGCTCGTTTCCACTCTCTACAGCAGTGCGGGGCACATTGAGATAAAGATCGACGTGCCGGCGAGTGAGGCAGTCGCGTGTGAGTTACAGATGCTGTATGCATGTCTAACATCATAATACATGTACACCGATGACTAGAAGTACAAAGCAAATGGCAAATAAGTAGCATGTACAGGCAAAGGGAAAGCTCAAAGCCACCCAAAGAAGTGGTCAGCAATACCTTCCTCGATCTCTTCTGCGCGTGTCTTGACTGCTGCCAGCGCATTACGCCGGCACCCCGGAGACATCTCTTCCTTCAACCTCTGGTCCGCCGCCAGGATATCCCCGACCAAGGCGATCAACCTCAAGATGCTGCCTGAGCTGAGCGCATTCACCCTGTCTGACGTCACAGCGCATTTCCACCGCTGCACCCAGAGGTCCGCACACAAACTCTTCACACCGCTGCACTCGCAAGCGAAATTGACCGCGCTCTTCCTCGTCCGTTCCCAGAGACTGACAAGCGACCAGTGCCCCGACAGAAGCCGCATCACCTGCGCATTGCTCAGCCGCGCGTCGGCCGTGAACTGCGTCGCCCCGCGCCCCGTCACGGTCGTCTGCCGCGCGATCATGCTCTGCACATGCTGGTAGTAGGCCACCCCGCGCAGGCCCTGCAGTTCGTGGATGTCCGCGGCGATGATGGCCGGCACGCAGGGTGTGTCGCCCGTCTTCAGGCGTTCGCACCAGCGCGTGATTGTCGCTTCGATCAGGTCGTCTTGGCGGGTGCGGATGGCGACGTCCAGAGCACGGGTGAGCAGCGCCGACGAGCAGCTTGATAGGAGAGAAGTCTCCGCGGAAAAAGTGCGGAGAAGGGCGGCGTTTGCCCATGTCTTTAGTTTCGGGCAATCGAACTGGTACGATATGGAGGAGATGGAGAGCAGGCGGTCGATTTCGTCGTGCTCGATAGGTTGGGCTAAAAGTTCTTTTTCACTGCAATAAAGAGTGAGTCAGCACTCGGAAGTTGTGGTCATGAGACAAAGAAGTCGCACCTGGCATTCAAAGCCCACATCAGTGCCCGGAACTCTTCGGGCAGCGTAATCGAAACGAGTACCAACGGGTACATCGAACCGTCCGGTTGTCTCTTCAAGCGTCTCTGGCGGAGCAGCATATCCTTGAACAAGATCGAGACATCCGCTAGAAGATCGCCTTTGACCTGAGAGATGCCGTGAGCATTGGCTGTGTGCCAGATCGGCGACACACACCTTGAACCGCGTATTGCCAACGCGCACCACACACTCCGCATCCGCATCGTTCGAGAAGTAGACTGGATCGTCGTGCACCGGGCCACAAGGCTCGGTAGGACGCTCGGTCCCCGTGTACTCGTACCCTCCGCCGTCAGCTACTGAGTCGACTCGCGCGCGCTTCCGCGGACGCGAGGGTGAGTTCGGGTCGTCGCGTGTCTCCCGGATCGTCCCTGCGTCCTCGATGATGAACCTTGGGGGCATCTGGGGCCAGTTGGAGGTTCTGATTGTGGCGGAACGTGGCACGGCAGTGCGTCGATCAGGCCGCAAAGAACAATAGAGAGCGAAGTATGTCTCAAGTGCGAACGCAGCGATCGAGTAGGTCGGCGCGTCTACTCTGAGCGCGAAGAAAGCAAGGAAGAAGAAGAAGAGTGGTCATGAGGCGTTCGTCACGGCCTATGTAGTAGAGAGATGGCCATTGTCCTCGATTTGTGCATGTTTTCGCCTTTCTGACTGAGCCAGTGCCACTCCTTGTTATTTCGGTCCAGTCAAGCCCTTTGCAGCATTCCATTTCGAGGACTTTCGTGTGCACATACATAAGATTATGTTCGGCATTCTACAAACATGCACTGAGCACTCTACGACCCTGGATGCTCAGCGCTGCTGCCCTGAACGAGATCAACTGCAGGCTCGGTCTGAGTACTATCCACCATAGCCCCAGATCTGAGAGATATCGGGGAAGCTAGGCTCATCTACAATCAGAGTACTAGGGATTCCATCGCTGCCGAAGGTGCTTTGGAGGCTATCTTGATCTTGTCTGGTGTACCGGAGGGATAGCAGGCAATGATCTGAGCCCGATGGGCATTCATTAGAGCCGAGGCTTTAAGCATGTGTGCGATGATCTTCAGACCGAGGGATGATTCACGGCTTGCTCTGGGATCTAGTATCAGGGTATCGAAGCACGATCGCTCAAGCGGGTGGGAATCAATGGACTCGAGGATAGCAAGAGCAACTCTTGTAACGAAGATTCTGAGACTTGGAGAATGGCCGTGGCACAAGTAGTAGCATTGGAAGTGCGTGTGTCTGGGTCCATTTTCGCTATCTCTAAAATCTGGCAGGATAGACAAAGTTTAACGAGCTATTGGATGATCGGCACACCGAGTGAGTCTGCAACGCAGGGACCATGGATGAATTCGCATCGATCTCCGCATTGGTCGAGGAACGCAGCCTCAAGTCGATATCGTAGCGAGGATAGGTGGATTGCCGGGACGGTGTGAAAGCCCCAACTACGGGTTGTTACTCTGGTATCCCCGTGCGAGACGAAGGCGCAGCTGTCGTAGATGCGAATATTTCATAGGCAGGAAGGCAAGCTCGCAAGCTTGAGCCCAGAATTGATAAGGAAAGAGATCAAGTCTGGTAGGATTGGCGGCCAGGGCAAATCATCGCATCTTGACAGTAGAGCCATCGGCCACCACCGTGTTAGGTCTCAGTCACTTTGCCGTAGAATACCCACCTCGTAATTCGGCACGATGCCCAGTCCCAGCAGGTGATGTGATCCTTGGCGCAAACGCGGACGCATGACGAATGAACTGCTCGAGCATCGATAAGAACATGATTGTGCGGAGTGGAAATGGACGGTGTGGAGATCGCCGCGCCCAGAAGCTCGTTTGCAGTGAAAGATAGTCTGGTGTTGCGTTACGTCGTTTTACAGGTTTGTCAATTGAGCTAGTGACTGTGAAACTGCCAACTGAGCCACGAGTTGCACCATCCAGCCGCCACATCTTTGAGATAAGTGTTGATTAGTGACCTTCTCGTCGAGGGAAACGTAGTTCCACGCTACGTGCCCAAGTGATGACGGCTCAGAGCAAGCGGTGCCATGCTCAGACTGCAGGAAGGTTGTGGCAGTGCAACCTGCATTTCTCACCTCTCGTCTACTTACTTCCGAGTCGCTGTTGGTATCTGGTACAGTATCTTTTGAATGAACACTACTACTTATCCCCCGAGTGGCGCGGTCTATATATATACCCATCTCAACCTACGCGAAGCCACGATGCAAGAAGTTTACGTCATCAACCTTGAGAGCACCGTTGATGTCCCATCCCCGTCCCAGGGCGCCCCGCAGACTGCTGAAACGGAGGAACGATGCCGACGCGCAAGACGTCATTCCCCAGCAATCGCCTCCTTCGGCTTTCTCTCGGGCCACGACCGCAGGCGACCGCGTCGTTCCAACGATCGCCTCTGTTTTCTCAGGCGCACCTACAGAGGAGCTGCAAGCAGACCGCATGCCGCGCGCAGGTGGAGACATCTTTCAGGACGTAGCAAGGTGGTCCATTGGCTCTGATTTTGGTCCTTACTCTGTGCGCAACGCTGTCCATCTCCCCCAATCCACCGCATCTCAGCGCCCGTTTGCAGTTCGATCCTGCTCTGAAGCACGTGAAAATGGATGGCACACCAGCTCCTCCACGAGTCAACCTGGTACGGACAAAGACAGTGACGGTCAACACCCACTGGGAGAAGAACATGGACCTCGATGATGAGCTGCACAACCCAAGCACGGTCGCTGACGAAGGTCCATCCTTCGATTGGACGTCTGGCCGGGGATGGGCAAATTCCATCGCATTGGGTCTTCTTCTAGGCGGTCTTGTCGCGTTGTTCCTCGGATATCCTCTGATCCTGTTCTACACTCGTCCACCACGGATACCTGGGCTGGATTCAGGCTTGGGCAATGGGACCGACAAAATTCCGAGCATGCCCAATTTCCCCAAGCTGATTGACGAAGATTCTCCATCGTCAGCACGGACGTTCTCCAGCCCGGATGGGCAGCAGTACCAGCTAGTGTTCAGTGACGAGTTCAATGTAGATGGGAGGTCGTTCTATCCAGGAGATGATCCCTGGTGGGAAGGTGCGTGTTTTGTGATTGAATCGGGCCTGATCCTTACGCGCTTGACGCTTCACAGCCGTTGATCTGCACTATTGGCCGACGGATGATCTGGAATGGTATGACCCTGAGGTTCTTGTGAAGCCAGCTGTTTGTCACTTTGTAGCTAATCTGCGAATGTAGGCTGTCACGACTAAGGGCGGGAATCTCGTCCTCACAATGTCGGAGCTGAACAATCACAACCTGTCCTATCAGAGCGGTTCGCACACAGTTTTGTCCGCTGCTTCGACTCATTGACTCGAAGGGATGCTGCAGTCATGGAACAAAGTCTGCGTCAATGGAGGTTACATCGAAGTCTCGGTCAGTCTCCCCGGCTCGCCTTCGCAAGTCGGCTTCTGGCCAGCCGCGTGGACGATGGGCAACCTCGGTCGCGCTGGATACGGAGCAACGACTGAAGGAATGTGGCCTTATACCTATGACAGGTACCTATCTCTTGTCGAACAGCACTTCTCCCATTCACCATCTCCCACGCAGCTGTGATTGGGGAACTCTCCCGAACCAAACCACGGCCACAGGACTGCCGACAGCAGTTCATGATGAGATGCTGAGCTTCCTGCCGGGGCAACGGGCGTCCGCTTGCACATGCCCAGGCTCTGATCACCCTGGTCCCTCCACCTCAGTTGGGCGAGGAGTGCCTGAGATCGACATTCTGGAGGCTCTCACGGAGGTCAACGACTCCAGTTATCGTGGGCAGATATCACAAAGCACGCAAATCGCACCTTATAACGACCATCGGTGGTTCGACAACTCGACCACCGTCACGACAATCCAGAACGCAAGCATTACGAAGCTGAACCATTATCTCGGCGGGCAGTACCAGCAGACAGTCTCAGCGCTGAGTTACATCGAGGACGAATTCTATGGCGCGCAGGCGTTTGCTACTTATGGGATCGAGTGGTTTTCGGATCCTACGGACCGAGAGAAGGGATTCATGAATTGGTATAGCAATGGGCAGAAGACGTGGGGGATCACAGCAGCTAGCATCGGTCCGGACTCCATCGCAAATGTCTCTGCTCGCTTGATCTCAGAAGAGCCCATGGTGAGCTTGCCCTGAGCTTTGAGCAGCAGAATCCTGACGTGCAAGCAGTACATCATCCTCAACCTGGGCATGTCGCCCACGTTCCAGCCACAGAACTTCAGTCAGCTGGTCTTTCCAGCTACTATGCTCGTGGACTACGTTCGGGTCTATCAGTCGCCTGGTGCGAAGAATGGACTGAGCTGCGATCCGCCGAATCGCCCCACGGCTGACTACATTGCCCAGTAATTACCCATTGGGTTGTTTCTTTCTGAATGCTGAGATCTATTTTAGGCACTCAGAAGCGTACACGAATGCAAATCTGACGACATGGGCTCAAGCAGGGCACACGTTTCCCAGGAATAGCCTACTGGATGGCTGCTAGCACTGGAAGTGTGTCATATGTACTTTAATTGGTTATCGGTTCGAAACGTACTTTGAAACCCGTTCTATCTGCAAATATGAGGACATCAGCTGTCAGTAGGGCGCGCTCGGAGATTCATCCGCCACTGCGCTTTTTTAGACGTTGCAGATCTTTTAGCCCCCTCGCATCATCGAGTTGTGATTGACAGCTTCACGCCTTCCCTCCTCCATCCATTCGCATTCTTCCGTTCCGCGGTTTCCCAGCTCACAGAAAGCCTTGACGACATCCCACCTCGAACCAGGGCCCTCCCACGCGTTGGCGACATACACAGAACAAGGGCTTTCGCCGGTAGCCATCACGTAAACAATAGCGATCGGTTGCAGAAATCTCCCAGTCCACAACGACCGCGCACCTCCGACCCTACATCTCACTCCTCTAGAACACCCTCCTTATAATGACCCGGACATCCGCAGCACCGTTGTTCCTCCTCCTCCTATGCCTTCCCTCTTTGTCGCTACCCGCATTAGCACTGTCCATGCCATCCCCCCGCAGGACCGTCGACGTTGTGTATGAACGCATCTGGCCACGACGCCGAACGATCAATGTGCCAAGAGCCGGCCCTGCAAGTGGATACTATCCACCCGCGAATGCAGGAGGGTCCATGCTTACTGTGCGTTCTGCGTTCCCTATCTTGTGCGGCAGATGAGTAGTTGATGGTACCTATCCCATATCCCACGTAGAGCGTAGCAGGGACGTTCCCTCCAGGACAAGGCGAACCGCTCAATATCATCGTATCAGGCTCCTCCAGTCCCGAAGTGCTGGTCCACTCATCGCTGAATGGAGGCTTCCTGAACTTTTGGATGTGGGCTTGGTGTTTCCGCTTTCGCGCCGTTCGAAGCTCATCGCTTTCCAGGGCTGTTGGCTTCGGTGGAGAATGCTTGGGGCAGCATATTGGTGCTTCGCAGATGGCAGACCTCGGTGACGGCAATGGTCTCGGTGCGTCATTCTTACCCCTGTTGCGCGTATTTTTCTTGACACCGGGCTCTGGCTTTGGCAGTGAACGAGACGGCGGAGCTGCGCTGGGACTATGGAGATCCATCACTCGGGACCTGTGAGGAGACTATTCAGGGAGGAGACCACTTCCGTTATTGGCAACAGAACGGAAAGTCAGCGAACAGCTCAGCATACTTTCTTGCCTCGTCGTATGAGAAACCTATTGCCGAAGGCCATGACATTGTACCTAATGGCTACAACTTCGGACGGTACGTTTCGGGCTGATGCTCTATCCCCATTGCTCATGCTAGTTGTAGGGATTGGCTCATCGGTAACATCACGGGCTCTCCGATCGACACATTTTCTCTTACCAACACTTCAACCTTCTCGGGCACCAAGTCGTATGCTGGATTCGTGTACTCCGTGGGGATATCATACGTGTCGGGCTTGTTGTCGAACACAAGCTACGGGATCAACCACAATCTCTCCGTCCCCATCAACGGTCTGAATGCCATAGATGGCCTAGTAGCTGTTCTAGACATCAAGGTTGTGACCAAGCCTGCGAACGCAACGAGTGCTGGACTGTGGGTCTCGCTGTGAATGCTATTGCGGCTCCCATACTTATTTTCTGTGTTAGGCCGATTATACGACCGTCCTCACTGCCGTCGCTGCTCGCTCCTCTATTGGTGCTAGGGTTGTCTCTTTGGGCTGGACTCTTATCCGTTGCCGTGTAATCTTCCTCTGCGAGCCTTGCCCTGCGATACCTCCACGTCCTACCTCATGCTTATCTATCAACCATTCGCTCTCACACACCCATGCATCCATCTGCATTCGTACTTAGACGGACTGCTCGACTGACTGCTCGACACAATGGACCATCCTAGCATAGAACAATCTACTTATCAGCCGCGGCGTGTGTGAACTCCTGTCACAGCGTACATCTCAGTGGCTGGACAACCCTGTTTCTGACCTTTCCATGTCGCTTCAGAGCCTCATCGGTACTAATTTCCAGAATTGTGGCTGGGGCGATGATAGCGATGTCGCTGTTTCTAGTTCCTCGAGACCAACATTCTCAATCCAATCCAGTAGGCACCCTCGCATCTTACCTCGTCGCTTCCGCTTTGCAGCTATCTTCTACATGTTTAGGAACGTGAAGCTTGAGCTTGACCCCTGGTCCCTCCTTTCCAAAGTGAAAGACAAATAACATCAAGTGAAAGACAAACAACTCGCCCGTAGTATATAAGTTTGGCATACCCAGGCGCATATACTCACCAATCCTCTCTTCCTTTCCCTCTCATCTCGTTCAGCACACTCTTTTACCTCCACGATCCTTACTCGCCATGTACACACACATCATGCCTCTTCTTTTCGTCGCGGGCGCGCTCGCTAGTCCCATTCACCATGTCACACGTGACCAGGGACCTGGACCTGTGCGCGTGATCCTCGCTCTTTCCCTCATCTCGCTCATGCTTTCTTCATCAGAACGCCGTCGAATGCATCTACAACAAGGCCATCAAGTTCACGACCACCGCCGAGAATGCCGCCAAGCTTCTGGCGGGGAACCCGAACGATCTGCCCTCGTCAGCACCTGACTTCCGCATCTTTCTCGAGAGCTGTTGCGCGCAGGCGTCTGGCGGCCCTGCCCCTGGAGACAGCTCGCCTCTCGCTATGAATGCCAACCAGCCGTCATCTGAGCAGGCGTCTGAGCAGGCTTCTGTCTCTGCTCCGGGACCTGACCCACAGTCGAACCCGTCGAACCCAAGCTCTCAGTCGATCGTCCCCCACGAGAATAACCTCAACATCAACCTCGTCCCCTCGGACCAACCTTCAGCTGATCCTGCCGATATTGCTTCTGCCTCTCGCTTTGGCAAGTTTGTGTCGCCGTCCCGTCTTCACGGCCCTAGCAACATCAGCCCGTCAAGCCCTAACGCGAAGATTGGTGCAGAGTCCCAGGATTCCGGCGCTCAGGCGGATGGTCAGGGGCAGGAAGGTGGGGCCAACGCTGCCGCAAACGTTGAGGAGAATCACCCGAAGAAGTTTTCTTCCGTGCCCAACCATCCAGTTGCAGATGGCCTTGCGTCCATTCTCGGCGACGGCACTGCCAAAGCTGATGTGAGCAACAACGGGCCGGGAGGGCCGGGCGAAGAGGCGACGGTCGACGGCGTCAAGAAGGGTGGCGATGGCCAGGCCTCGGCGGACGTGGCTGACAACGGCAAACCTGACTTCCCCGTTGATCCCAGTGCGCCTTCGGGCAAGAAGGCTCATGCACTGCTCACTCGGCCATCGAATGGGCAAGTCGGTGCTGCTGCCAATGAGGACGGCGGGTCGCAGACCGGGCAGGCTGACGCTCAACTTCCCAGCGGCAACAACAACGACGGCAACACTCTGCCCCTGGACCTGCAGGTCGATGTCGGCACGGGCGACAGCAATCGCACTGGCGGCCGCCCCTCGGCCAAGTTGCCGTTGCAGCAGCTTGACGCCGCTGCTAACAAGATCGCTGCAGCTGATCCGATGTCCAAGTTGGACCCGGAATGTGGGTGTCAGAAGTAGAGCGTATTTTGTGAATGTGTAGATCTGTAAAATATCTTGTTCCAAACAAATCTGGGAGCACAGTCGACTGTCAGAGGCCTTTGCAGGTGAAACCGAACAGCAGCATTACCCCAGATGCTGTGAAACCCAGCCGTGCAGAACTGTAACACGACCGCGACGCCACCAGATCAGACTAGTGTCGATAAGTAAGTAAATGTGACAAAGTCCAGTCTGACCAGTCAAGGCCAGCGACCAATTTCACCCCCGTTGTCCAAATATATACCCTCTGACATCTCAGATCTGTGCAACCTTATTTATGATCATCAGATGCGGCAGAAGACGTGGAATTTCGCCTTTATTCCAAGAGCCGTCCGCGGCAGATCGGATTGCTTCCACAACGCCTTGTGTGCAGCGCGATAGCTATACTCATGAAATTGATAGGCCATCGCTGCATGTCTCAATAAAGGAATTGTATTGTGAGACCTGATGCTGATGGAAAGAACAAGAGAAGCAGCCACCACTCAGACAGAACACCCGTTGATCACGATCATTACTCGGATAATGTATGTGATGTGATGTTTTTATGTAAAGTTATAAGAGCTAGCTTCTGCATGACGTGAGTTGCTACTCGGCAGTGTTCTCTTTCTCCCCCAGCGCGCTCTTTCTGCTCGACAGCAAGTTTGCTCCGTGACTTTGGCTGGAGCCGAGTGCCCATGTCTGCGACCGCATTCGATGGACCACTGACAAACTTATATACGTGCGTCTCCAGCAGTGCTCCCATCAACGACCGTGCTGTGTTCTGAACATGGCCCAGAGTGGAACTCGCAGGGTCATGGGTCAACGCCATGCTCTTCGCGTTTGAGGCCGTGCTGGCCTTTCGCTACCTGGCGCGCCAACGCCGGCCGCTGATGCACCGGCTGGGTATAGCCTTGATGGTCTTCTTCGATCTCATATGCACCATGGCCATCGATGCGAGCGTGCTGATGACATTCCTCACGTTCTTCGGGAAAGCGAACTTCCGTGCGGTGACGGTGCCGACCACCATCATCATTTCTGCGACGTATGCAACGGCGGCTGTCGAGCAGTCGTTCCTCTGCAACCTTTACTTTGTTCTGTGCGCGGTCTCCGCCCCGCTCAGCTACCACCATTCATTCATACGATCTCCATGCAGGTCCCGCAACAAAATCTTATCGTTGATTGTTGTGCTTTCTGGTCTTCTCCATGTGAGCTCCCTCCCAGCCGCGACGCCTCCTTTCTTACGAGCGCAAAGTTTGGCTTTTCGTTCGCGTCTGCCATCATGCTCCAGCCGACAGTGACTGGCTTCCGTGATATTACCTATAAAATCACCTCGCGAGTTCCCGTCTTTGGATTGGCCCGGGCACGGCTCTTACGGTGTTCTCCAGAATTGGCGCTATACTGTGCAGTGTGACGGACATCCTCATTGCTGGATTACTGGGATACGAGCTTAATAAGATCAGGATCGTCAGCCTGAGCAGTGGATCGCGGCAGAGCTCACAGTTGTTGAAGTGGGCTCTGCTCCTCCTCTTATGACAACTGCTTACTCTCGATCCCAGCTTGGCCCGCAAGGTCCTCATGCTGAGTCTCGTCTCCGGGGCGGTCGTGGCCTCTACGACGCTGTTGATGATGATTCTTTTCTTGAAGGGTCATATCGGTCCGTCGTCCTCGATTTCAGCCGTCTGCCGGGAGGGCTGACAGCAGCCCATGTGCAGTCTTCAACTTCTTCTTTTTCTGTCAAGGCCGTATCTACGCGCTGACGCTCCTGATCAACTTCCTGTCCGGTCCCCGGTCAGCCTCGGCGAACGTGACCGTAGAACTGGAGAGCGTGATGAACGGCCACCGCCACTCGGTCGGAGTCGCGACTCCCACCTTCGCACGCTATTCTTATGTGCGCCAGCGGTGGCTCTCATTCGCGCACCTCGCTCTATGCTCACGTACCTCCAGAGCACCCCGAACGTGAAAGATCTGCCGCCTGAGACGCCTGACCTCGAGAGCTCGCTGGCGGCCCCGCAGTCCATTCCCATCCCGCTCTGGGAGCTGGCCAGTGCGTCTGCGCAGTCGCTACCGCATCAAGATGGCGGTAGCACATCTCCGCGCTTGCCACAACATCATTCAGCTACCTCGTAGCAGATTTCTATACTCTATAGAGTAGGAGCGCGAAAAGACGTTAGATTCAGAACGTGTCCTTTCTAGGTACGCGAGCAAAAGTTTCACGTGATCGTGTTACGAGAGATGACACTGAGTCTAGATCTTGGCATGCCTTTGCACTGTCAATGAAGACGGCGTCGCTTGTTTATCGCCGGTTGGCCCTGACCGTGAATCTTCGCTTTTGTGACCGTCTGCTCGCCCGTCCGAACACGCAATCACCGAGGCGCAACGAAATCCTATCTCACATCGGGGGGAAAGATCTACACAGGACGCATCGCAGGGTATGATTTCGCGCGAGTCAATTGAAGTCTGCAGGCTTCTACTCAAGACCCTTTCAACGAGTCGAGTCTGATGAATCATTTTATCCAGAGATACTCCTCCCTAGATGGTTTCAGGTCGGCAATGACGTGGTTCGATCGGCGCAGTGAGACATATGGGCGGGATATAAGGCGGGAAGGGCGGTGAGACCAGCACCTCCTGGCATCTTGCTTCCAACCACCACAACACAACTTCATATCTTATGCAACGAGCTCTATTGCCTGCCCTATACAAACGCACCTCATTCGACACTCATCCATCATGACATCCACCCACTCATCCCACCCCGCCCCGCTCCCATACACCCGACTCCCTGACTTGACAGGGTCCACCGTCGAGAACGGCAAGCTCAAGCTCGTCGAGCTTCTCGGCCACGGCTCATTTGCCAAGGTCTACAAGGCTCTGGACACCCAATCGACTGCATCATCCGGGGCACCCATCCACTACGCCGTCAAGTGCCTCTTGAACGGCGAGCCCGGATCGCAGGAGCACCACAACCTCCAGAACGAGCTCAAGAACCACACACGGGTCTCTGGCCTGCCTGGCGTCGTGGCCTTGCACCGCGCCTTTGTCGAGGGCGAGCACGTCTTTGTCGTGATGGAGCTCTGCGACACTGACCTGAACCGCTTCGTCATCGAGCACAAGGACTGCGATGAGTAGTGCGACGTTGCGAAGCGGGTGTTCTTGGACGTGCTTGATGCCGTCGAGACATGCCACGCCGAGGGTGTGTTCCACCGGGACCTGAAGCCCGGGAACATCCTGTGTGACGCCGACGGCAAGAATATCCGAATCGCCGACTTTGGTGTTGCGACTCGGTCTGAGGAGTCGAAACAGTTCGGCGTTGGGACTGCTGTGTTTGCGAGTCCTGGTGTGTTTGAGACTTCCCACTCATTCGAAGCCCCTGACTCACCTGTGTCGCAGAAGACATGGACAAGACCCGAGACACATACTCCCCTCGCGGAACGGACTGCTGGTCGCTGGGTGTGATCCTGATCGCCCTCATGACGAGCAGCCTTCTTTGGAAGGCACCCGTCGAGTCCGACGACACGTACTGCGCGTACCGCGCGGACCCCGCGCACTTCTTGCGGGGGACGCTCGACCTGAGCCCTTCATTCAGCTCGCTCGCGAACCGGATCTTCGATCCCAATCCGGCGCGCCGGCCGAGCATTCCAGAACTGCGCACGGAGGTCGAGGCGATGGAAACGTTCGTCGTGCCTCCGCCCGTAGATATAGTTGCTCTGGCTCTGCAGAACCCACTGCACAGGCCGAAGAAGAGCAAGCGCCGGACGACTCCGCCTCCGGTGGATAGCAGTGCGACCACGCCTCGACGCTCGCTGAGCATTGCGTCCTTTACGAGGAAGCTGAGGAGGCTTGTGCGTCGTCGGTCGTCGCTGTAGTTTATTTCCTATCTCTGTTATCCGTTCCGTAGAAATAACCTTGCGAATCCCGATGATTTCACTCAGTCATGAGTGATGATGACATAAGCGCCGTCAATCCTGAGATGTCTTTCCTTTCTTCTGTGAATTCGCGACGCATGACGCTATGCTTTGGAGCGACAAATTTGTGGCTCCTTTTTTGTTGGCCTGTGGAGACTCCGCCGTTGGGATTTCAGTTCGGAATTCTCAGAGCTCCCAGACGGAGACAGCCTTCACATCAGCGACCCCATTCATCCATTACTTCATTGAACCTCTCGTCACCAATGAGCGCTTGAGCCTCTGAGCTTGGAAACTTGCTCGGAGTATGTGACCTCACAGTTGGGATTATGCGGCTCTATAAATGCACGACGAGGGTCTCCCCACTGAAAACACCAAACATTACGAACATGCAGCAACCCTCTAGCACCACAAGCACGCACGGCACGACAGGGACCAGCACCGGTGACATCTCGTACGGCAACACCCAGAACACGCCACAGCCGTACTCCTCGACCACCGCAGCTGATAGCGATACTGGCGCACGGGACTCCGTCACGCACCCGACCGTGGGCGAATCGATGCAACGCGGCGAGGCGTCGGGCATTTCGACGTTCCAGGCGATGAGCGGCGAGGACCGCGAGCCGGCGGGGGAGACGGTGTACCGCACTGCGTCGCGGGGCGAGTTCTCGTCTGGCACCGAGCAGCAGCATCAGCAGGAGCCGGGCGCGCATTCGGATGCATCTGCGACGCACCGCCACCATGAGGCGGGTACTGGGACGACAGCTGCCGAAAGGACGGAAGGCCGTCATGTTGGGGTTGGGGACAAGATCATTGGTCTGTCCGTCCCGTTTGTGTCATCAACGCGCAAGCTAATCTTGCGGTAGGATCAGTCGAGAAGGTCGCTGGGAAAGTCACTCGTAACCCGGATCTCGAGGCGCGCGGTGTGGAGCGCAAGGTGAGTTGCCATCGCATCTGGAAACGGATGGGCTCACAGGTTTCGTCAGACGGCATGAATCACGGGCCCGTATATACTACATGTACAGTAAATTAGATGTTTGAGCAATTGTAGCTTCTAACTCGTGGCCTACGACCATGGTCGTCGATGAATCGATTCACCGCATTCAAAAAGTCCATTAGAGCAGATTCCGGGGAACAATCAGATCTTAGTGACTCATCTGGGCGCCTGTGAAACGGGAAGCTATTTGTGGGATCCAGATCAGCAAGACTTAGCTGATCGGAATGGGCCTTCCTTTCCCCTGCGCCTCTTATCGTCTCGCAAGTGTCCACAATCGCTCTTTACCACTCCGTCGCTCCGTTCAATGATCTGGCTACTGGCCTCGCTCTTCAAACTCTCATTTTACACTCTCTGTGCGCTTTCGGAAACCGCGACCATCGACGACGAGCTGGGCGACTCACACACGGGGGCCAAGCCGGTTTACACTCCGGCCGATAAGTGGTGGCTAGTTGAGCTGCATGTTTACTTGTCACGGTCGATCAGACGAGGCTGAAACCGAGCTCCCAGAACACGAACTATCACACATGCACGGACTTGCTCGTGGCGGACGAAATGTTTGCCCGGACCTGGCACGACGGGCAGCAGAAAATCAGGGGAGGGCCTGTGTTTCTTTCGCTTTCTTTCATCAGTGCACTGAGACTCAGATTCCCGTCGGTCGTGCCTCGTAGCCTGACGCGCCAACCGGAAAGGCTCTGTACGTGTACAATGTGACGGTGTTCAGCGTGTCTGGGCTCCCACAGGCGGACCATACGGTGACGTTGACGACGAATAATGCGAATACGGGATCCAGGATGTTTTTCGACTGGGCGCAGTACACGTGAGTGGTTCAATTTCCTATTTCAATGCGCCCGATTTGTTTTTACCTCAGGTTTGATGACCTACCGGCGACCTCGTTGATTTTGTCCGCGTCTCGCACCACGGCGGTCGTAGTTTCGACTCAAGTTACGACAAGCACTGCGACAGCTGTGAGCACCGCAGTGATCAACACATCGTCCAGCACAGGGAGCACGGACACCGTACTCCAGAGCTCGACTTTAGTATCATCTGCCATGCCGCAATCACCTAGCAGCATCAGCATCACGTCGCACGGATCTCAATCAACGCCGTAATCTTCCACACCATCCGCCACTATTTCGAGCGTTCTGTCCACTGAATCCACGAGCTTTTCTCCGCCCCCTACCGTCACTCGCCGGAAAAACAACACCATAACCGGTGTCGTTCTCGCAGTCTCCATCTCTGTCGTCGCACTTACGGCCATGATTTTCTGCATGCGATACTGTCGCCGGCGCGCTCACAGCACATCCACGAGGGGCCACGAACGCACGCCCGTGCCGTACGCCGCCGCCCCGGTACACGGCCTCGGGTCGCTCCAGCCTCTGCTGTCGCCACCAAATTGTCTCGGCTCGAGCAAGGCGTCGGCGGCCGGCGGTACACATCTCCCGCCTGCTCTGGGGCCGAGGTTGGAGATCGAGGGCGGCTCGATGTCAGATCCGCCGCCTTTGTATGCTGAGCGCGTGCGTTGCAGGGAGTTGTAGTAGTATCGCCTGCCCTCCCGGATTGAGGAGGCTCCGTTTGAGATGAGGAAAACTGGCTGATTCTAGCGCCCCCACTGGCACTTGGTGTACCCATTGCTTCGAATTGCTGCCTTAATTATCCCTAATCTGATGTAGCGCTTTATCTGGTTGTATTGATTTGGAAATGCCGGCCCTTCACCAATTTTTTCGGACACTACAGCCTTGCAGGCGTGTAAGTCAATAATCTGCTAAATTGTTGAATATCTGTGGCATAGGAGAGAGGGCATGATATACTCAGAACACAGTTGCTGATGTGGTAAATGGCAATCTCTAAGAGATCACAGTATTAAACCAACACTTCTGATCTGTGCAACAAGAGCGGCTTGATACCATGCTTTCCCAAAGTGCTGCAAGGTAATCCATTGCCTGTGCTATTGATTCCAACCCAAATATCCACAATACCTCAGCTGAGTTAAGTATTATTGGCGGCGGAGTGATCGAGTGATCGATCGGTGCCATCAGACTCGGATCAACTGCGTTGGAAAGACTGTGATCAGCCGTTTTTTTCCTTGCTGCGCTGATCTTGAACCCATTTGAGAAACTGAGCTCGTTTGGACCAAAATACGGGATGAAACACCTCGAGGCACGCGATATCATGCTATGGGTTTGTCTCTACAGATTGTCGTTGGGTGAATATTGACGGCCGGGAACGTGTTGTCAATCAGCCGAGTTACGTGTCGGGGAACATCATTGGGTAAATAGGACACAGCTCTCCGTTGTGTTCTTGCGTCCCGCCAAGTTGTTGTTTGTATGTGCCTCAAGCTGTTGCATATCGGCTCGAGTGCTTTTTCAGGACCTTCATTCGACCAGCGATCCCAAATCTCGACTTCCTGTGACCCTCTGCACGCACACAAATGGAGAGTGGAGTCTTGTAGCAAAGTACTGTCTCTTGGCCCGCGACCGCGGTCGTTGATGAACCGATTCAGTGCATTAAAGAAGTCAAAGGGGGATTCTGGAGACCAATCAGAATCTCATGACTGATCTGGATGCTTGTGAAACGGGAAGCCAACTGTCGGATCCTGATCAACAAACCTCAGCTGATCAGAATGCGCCTTCGCTCCCCCTGCGCCTCTTATCGTCTCGCGACTGTCTTTCTCCGCGCTTTACCGTTGGGTCGCTCCTTCAATGGCCTCGCTGCTGTCCTGGCTCTTCACACTCTCATTTTACACTCTCTGTGCGCTTTCGGGGACCGCGACCATAGACGACGAGCTGGGCGACTCGCGTACGGGGGTCAAGCCGGTATACATCCCGGCCGATAAGTGGTGGCTAGTTGAGTTGCATCTCTGTTTGCTGCCGCCGATCACACGAGGCTGAATACGAGCTTCCAGAACACGAACTGCCTGACATGCACGGACTCGCTCGTGGTGGATAACCTGTTTGCGCAGACATGGCACGATGGGCTTCAGGCCGTCCAGGGAACACCCGTTTCCCTTTCACTCTCTTTCACCGGTGCGCTGAGACTCAGGTTCCCGTCGGCCGTACATCGTAGCCTGACGCAACCCCTCTCATTTACTGCAGGGACGGGAATATCGGTGATGTGTGCTGCGATTGACCTCGGGCCACGCACGGACATTGTTACGCCCATGGACCTCGCATTTACGCTCGATGGCCAGCCCCACGGGACGTATCTGTATCCGCAAACCGGGAAGGCTGTTTATGTTTACAACGTGACGGTGTTCAGCGTGTCTGGGCTCCCACAGGCGGACCATACGGTGACGTTGACGACGAATAATGCGAATACGGGATCCAGGATGTTTTTCGACTGGGCGCAGTACACGTGAGTGGTTCAATTTCGTGTGGTTGGGTGTGTTTCAATGCGCTCGATTTGCTTTTACCTCAGGTTCGATGACCTACCGGCGACCTCGTCGATTTTGTCCGCGTCTCGCGCCACGGCGGTCGTAGTTTCGACTCAAGTTACGACAAGCACTGCGACGGCCGTGAGCACCGCAGTGATCGACACATTGTCCAGCACAGGGAGCACGGACACCGTACTCCAGAGCTCGACTTCAGTAGCATCTGCCATTCCCCAATCACCTAGCAGCGTCAACATGTTGTCGCATGAGTCTCAATCAACGCCATCATCTTCCGCGTCGTCCTCTGCATCATCCGCCACTGTTTCGAGCACTCTTCTTCCCACCGCATCCACGGGTACTTCACCCGAAGTGTCTCCGCCCGCCACCGGCATTCGCCGGAAAAATACCAGCATGATCGGCGTCGTTATCGCCGTCTGCATCTCCGTCGTCGCACTTGCGGCCATCTTTCTTTGTATGCGATACCGTCGCCACCGCACTCGCAGGACATCCACGGAGGATCAGGAACGCACACCTGTTCCGTACACCACTGTCCAATTGCACAGCGCCGGGTCTCTCCAGTCCCTGCTGTTGCCGAATCGCCTGGGCTCGGGCTCAGCCTCGGCCGGCGGCACGCACCTCCCATCTGCACTGGCATCCACAGCGGATGTTGATAGTGGCTCAATGTTGGATCCACCGCCTTCGTACGCTGAACGTATGTCGTCGCACGTAGTGGTGACATCGCCTGCCCTCGGAGATCGGGGGGCTCCGTTTGAGATGAGGAAACCCGGCTGAGTTTTTCACCTTTCAGTGGCACTTGACAAAGATTTTTTTTTTGAATTGCTACGTTCAAATTAGTTATGCACAAACCGATGTAGCGCTTTCCTTCATCGCATCATTTTGGAAAGCTCATCCTCCAGCCCATTTTTTTTTGGGCGGCTGCGCCCTTGCGGATTTGCAAGTGGATGATTTCTTGAATTTCTGGAGGATTTGGAAAAGGCGTAAGACTCACATAGGACAATGGCCATGATAAGCCAAACGGCAGTGCAAAGTCTCACAGTCAGTCTAGGCCTTATGTCCAGGCAGATCGCGTTGGATCGCAGCACCTGCTGATAGATGCGAAAATCCAGGCTTTCCAAAAGCGCTTCAAGGGAAATATTGCCCGCACTTATCATGATCAATTCCCACCCAATCAGCTACCGAACGCAGCGCAATAGTAAGAACAGCCTCCAGATCACGTCGTCCCTTCAGCGACCGGAGGGCATAGCTCCGGCACGCCCAGCGCGTCTCTTCGGGACGCTCCCGAGCTCGATTTCTTCGTCATCCGCCACGTCTGCCGTCGCGCGCGAACGCCGCCCGCAGCAGTATACGAAGCACAACAGAGCTATTAGGAGAACGACGAGGGAAATCCCGACTGCGAGAAAAGTTCCGATATGGCTCTGTGTCACCGTGACCGTGGCGACGGGGCTGGGGGTCACGTCGAGTGTGCTCGATGGGTGAGTGTCGAAGGCTGCTGTGGTGAAAATCGAAGGGGCGGTCGATGGGGGTCCGAGAGAAGAAACCCTGGAGGACATTGAGGTCGGATTCGAGGACCCGCCCGCCGTGCTGGTCGCCGTTGCCAAAATTATTGAAGATGAGTCATCGCCGGACCTAGAAAAAGAACAAGGATTTGGAACTTCTGCCGTGGATAATAACTCGAGAAGAAACCAGCTCACAATTGATAAGCCCGGTCGAAGTGGATGCGTGACATTGC